ATCCATGACCCCCTATACGTGGTGCAAATTTTGAAAATTTTCGAAAATATTTTTTGCCATAACTACTTAACCACTTGAGATCTAGGTCTCATATTTAAACTGTAAGTAGTACTAGGTAGTGTTATTGTGTTGTTCTGTTTTTCATAATTGAATTTTTCCTATTATGACTGCTTGCTAAACCTTTACAGGTTCCTTCGCTCATTTATTTATATGCCTATGTTGTGTTGCTATGCAAGAAGACGTCGTCATCGTCGTCGTACAACGTCAGATTCCAAATCGCCTGTGGATTCACAATGCCGAGTAAATTATTTCAATCATTATTATCGATACTGCTATCATTATTAGAGTATTATTATGATTATTGTTATTGTTGTTGCTGTAGTTGCAGAGAAACGCCATGTTCAGTCTAATGTTGGCCAGATTGGATGAATTCGAGAGTTTAACACCGCTGATGATAACACCATCTGTATCGTCGTCTGCTTCTGAGATTGTTACGGCTGCCAGAGCGCCAGAATATCAGCTTGAAGCACCCCAGTCTAGTTCCCGACGACCAAGACTCCTGTCCCTACCTCAACTAGCATCGCAACAATCCCAAGACGAACGACCACGACACGAAGAACAGTCAAAGTTCTGCAGTGATAGTCATCGACGACAACAACTAGTTAATGCTGAGGAACGAGATGCGATAAAGCATCAAGTGTTTGTTGAAAATGATAATGGTGTCAAGTCTAAGTCAAAAGCCCAACTGAAATACACTCAACGTCGTCAACAATTCGTTTGTCGAATCGATGACTCCAATCAAAAAAACCATTCACCAGCATCGTGCATACCACTGTGCACCACAAGCAAATCACCACATCAAATCTTGACCACACTAAATAGCAAAAATCCTACAGCAGCAGTAAACAATCAAGCCATTATTATCCGTTCCCAATCGTCTGCACCAGTAATAAGCACTCAAAGAGCAGCCGTTCGGGTGCTCACCTCAACTGCTGGAGGCGGCGGCGGTTGTTTCGATGGTGCTGCTTACAGTGGCGGCGGCGGCGGCGGCCCTGGCCCTGGCCCTGGCTCTGCTACGGGCGGCCCTAGTTTAGGTCTAGGCTCATTCTCGTCACTCTCGCAAACTAGTCCTCCACCACCGCGTCGTACACCGACCGGTAAAACACTTATTGTACCGCTAGCCACCAATAAAGGTCAGTTTTACCTGAGGTGTGTAGCGAGCGCATCAGCTATCGCTGCTAGTATTATCATTAGATTATTCGAGTTCTCATATTTTGATCATTAATTATCAGCAGCAATAATCACGATTGAGTTTATCTTACATAATGCTGCCCATGAAGTTGTGTGCTCTTATCAATTATCACTTATCACTGTCAGTCAATTATCCTTATCAGTTATCGCTGTCAGTTTTAAGGTGATAAGAGTAAAATTTTGAATGTTCTAATAAAATGTTTAAGGTCGAGCACCATTAGCGCCTTTACTTGGAACAGCAGCAGCAGCAGCGGCAGACGGTCGTTTGACATCGCAGTCATCACTGGATAATGCAACATCGAAAAGTTTTACGACAATACCCGAGGATGACGATGAGCTCAAATATCATTCGTCGTCGTCGTCGACTGATGCGGCAGCATCCAACGATGGTGTTCTGCACACCCAAACAACCCTAGCGAACAGATCAACGAATCGTTTGTATGATTCGGCTGATCTGATATCGATTGATCGAGTGCGTCTTATTCACTTGAGTAGTCATCCAATAATTAGTAGTTATGAAAACAGTAATAATGATAGCAGTAATAACGTTTCAGACGTCCATTTCATGTGCGGAATCACGTCCGTTACATTATAATTGCCTCAGTGGAGTGTCTTTACCTCCGTCAGCGCCCGAGTTTGAGGTTATAATAATAATAATAATAATAATAATAATAATAATAATAATAATAAAAGATTGAAATAATCATTGAATCGTTTAGAATCTATTCCACTCACAAATGAATATTGCAGATTCCAGTACCGTCGTACGCCCCTCCGCCACCGCCTGCACAAACCGCCTTATCGGATCCAGCCCTGTATCGACCGTCGTTGTTTATTCGTTCGCCGAAATGTCAGTGAATATACGGCTAAGATAATGATTATACTGATAATGATAATGCAGTGATAAGATTAAAACGTAAAAATAGTGATAATAATAATAATAATATGAAAATAATCAATCATATAATTGAGTAGAAATACGATGCGATTTTAGCGATATCAAGACGTGAATTTTTAACGATGACGGCGGCAGCAGCAGCAACTGCGGACAGCAGTAATAATAGCAGCAGCCAAATGAGTGGCCAAACAAGAACACGAAAAAGTCCTAGTGGGGACTCTTTGAATTCGTTCAGTAGGTCAGTTATCAGAAAACAACTCAAATTGTTGAATCAACCGACAGCCTAGTTTGATTTGACTGTGTGCTTATTA